CAGCTGGAATATTGTTAGTAGACACGGCTGCTCTGTCACTTCTGGAACGATTCGAACAGCTGTCCCCGTGTCATGTTAAGATAGTGTCGCTCTCCAACTTCTGGCCGCCGGAGTCGGTCATTAGGCCTGTACGCAATGTCCTCTATGAGCCCACGCAAATCGATCGATAGCTTGGCCTCGGGTACATCCACGCCTTCGCTTTCTCAATTTTCGCTCAGTCAGATCGAATCTCCCCGCGCTCCGCCTCAAAAGTACCCTTTGCGAAGAGGATCAACTGCCAGCTCCATAGCTAGCATTGCTAGCATTGGAGGGGTGCTTGATCCATCCCAACACCATGGTTCAATCGCGGAGTCAGGACAAAATGGTGCGGTGTCTCTAGTCTCTCATAGTTGTTCTTATCGCTAATCAATGCGCCGTGCAGCAATTTCCACCCTTCTTCAGCCCCCGATCGTCCGTACAGGTCTTGTTCCACATACCGCCGTAGCGTCCACCGGGTACAAGCCGCCCAGCACACGAGATATCCCTCCGGTCACATTGACAAATATTCCCCATGTTGACTCCAAAGCCTTTCAGCCGTACCTGTCGCAGGTTGGGTCACTATACGAGGTGTTTCAGCAGGCAAAGGAGTCTACAACCGATCAGGATGCTCAACTAGCTCGGGATGGCAAGACTGCTTCGAGACCGGATGAACATGGCTCTCTGATGCCCCTGCCTGCGGAGAGACGAGCATCCGTGCTTTCGACGAGTTCCAGAGCAACATCGCCTTTCGATCCACGGGGCAGAAGGCGGTCATCTGGTCGAGGCCGTGGCCAGGGCATCACCCCGCTGTCCGTAATTCCGCCGGTCTATTTCGAGGATGACTTTCATCTTGAAAACCCTCGGACTTTCGACGTGGTATCTGAGAAGTCGGAAGTTGTGAGACCACCAAAGCTACCAGGAAAGGACGGTCAAGGGACCAATGAATCGGCCGCTGAAACAGCAAACACCGGGAGAAAGGCGCTTGCCACAAATGCAATCCTCCAAGAAAAACTCTCGTGGTACATGGACACTGTCGAGGTCCATCTCATCTCCTCCATCTCGAGTGCGTCTAAATCCTTTTTTACCGCGCTAGGCTCCCTGCGTGAGTTACATTCAGAGGCTGCCGATTCGGTCAAAAGGATACAAATCTTACGAAAAGATCTTCAAAAGATTGACCGTGAGATGGCGTTGGGTGGCTTGAAAATTGTCAATCTGCGACGCCGCAGGGAGAATGTGCGAATGCTTGCGGACGCGGTATCCCAGCTGCGAGATGTGGTTCAGTCAGTTGTGCGATGCGAGGAATTAGTAGAGAACGGGCAAATCGAGGAAGCTGCAGACAGTCTTGAAGAAGTGGAGCGATTGATGGCTGGGGAGCAAACCACCAATAGCGGCGAGGATGGTGCATCTCGAGATCGATCCAGGAAGCCAATCGACTTGCGGAGACTCAAGGCCCTTGAAGGTGCTTCAGATGACCTTGCGCAACTGAGGTACCGGATAGGCATGGGATACGAGAACCGGTTCTTGAACGATCTACTTGGGGACTTGCGCAAACACATTGAGAATGTGCCTTCGGATGTGACACTACAACGCTGGGGCTCCTCGTTCCAACGACAACGCGGAGCACAGCGCTCGGGTGCCTCGGCATCTCCAGCTTATATGAAGTTTGACGAAGACGTGAGATCACGGCTCCATACGAATCTGATTGGACTCGCCCGTGCGCAATACACAACACCAGCAGCGACGTCGTTCAAGACAGCAGTTCTCCGGGAGATGAAGGGGCTAATCCGCAAACATATGCCTAGCTCCAGCGATGATGACAATGAGTCGGTGGTGTCAGTCTCTACGCACAGGTCCCAACAACGTAGCCAACAAGAGAAATCATCGATACTGGCGCGCAACCTGCGCGCTCTAGACGCGGAGGATGCCTACAATATGCTTACTCGAGTCTATACTGGCATCAGCGAGTCATTGCGGAGACTTAGCGTTCAAGTCAAAGTACTTCTCGACATCGCCAGTGGGCTTGAGAATCCCGCGGCTGCTGGCCTCAGTTCGCCCCCTCGAAGTCCTGAACCCCAGAGTATGACCAACCCTATGGGTTCTCGGCTGCCAGCGACAATTCAAGCGCAGGACGAAATCTTGCAGGTTCTAGACATGTCCAGCCTTCTTGGACAGGCTGTTGACATTGCTCAGTCACAAATTACGAAGGTATTGAAGGTGCGGTCGGAACAGACATCTCAATTGCCCAAGGAGGAGTTTCTCCGGTACTTCACATTGAATCGACTTTTTGCCGACGAATGCGAGGCTATTTCTGGGAGAAGCGGCACGGCCCTGAAGACTGTTGTCAGCAACCAGATCCGCGACTACATTAACAGATTTGGGGAGAACCAACGGCACCGTCTCGTCGACGTGATGGACTCTGACCGATGGGACGCGCGCGATTTTGGTGAGACTGAGACTGCCATTCTCAGCAAAATTCTCGATGCAAGCACCAAGGATGTTGAAGCCTGGTTAGCTGCCTCTAGGATCTGGTCGCCGCAGGAACAGCAGACCGAGAATGCGGGACGCGATTCTGTTGCCACCAATGGCACAGGCAAGGACAAGGTGCGCAGTGCTGTGATTGACGAGCAGAAATATATCCTTCCCGAATGCGCTGTGGCGATGATGAAGAGCATCGAGGAGTTTCAGTTTCTTATGGCCAATATTCCAAGTATGATACAGGATATCGCCCCTGGTCTGTTGGAGTCATTGAAGTTATTCAATTCTCGATCTTCGCAGCTCATTCTTGGTGCTGGAGCCACCAGGAGCGCGGGGTTGAAAAATATTACCACAAAACACCTCGCTCTTTCCTCACAGGCCCTGAGCTTTATCATCGCCTTAGTACCTTATATAAGGGAATTTGTGCGACGGCATGCCCCGTCGAGCCCCCTGATGGGCGAATTTGACAAGGTCAAGCGGCTGTACCAGGAACATCAGTCTGGAATCCATGAGAAACTCGTCGATATTATGAGCGGCCGGTCTTCTGTGCACGTCAACGCAATGAAGAAGATTGACTGGGACGCGACAGCGGGAAATAACGTCAACCCGTACATGGAGACCTTGACGAAAGAAACGGGCACACTGCACCGCGTTCTGAGCAAGCATCTGCCAGAGACGACAGTCATGATGATCATGGACCCCGTGTTTAGAAGCTACCGCGATCAATGGACCCGAGCTTTTGAAGAGGTCACTGTCCACACAGAAGCCGGTAAACAGAGGTACGCCTTTCTGCCAACTTCCAGAGTTGATCTGTACTAACCATTCTCAGGATGCAACGGGATGCAGAACATTTCCAGACCAAGCTGAGCAAGATCGACGGCTTCGGAGACTTGGGACAGCGTCTGCTTGAGTTGGTCCAGGGCAAGAGTACCTCATCGCCGGACGAGAAGCCAGCACCATCAACCGGGTCACCGAAGGAATCGCCCAGGGAGACCAGTGAAGAGAGCTCGAGGAGTTCCTCTTGACGTTAGGACGCATGGCATGGTAACTCCTAGTGTCCGGCAGCACCGCTAATCATTTGACATGTTCATAATATTAATAGGGAGGTGCTACAGTGTTAGACTTGTATATAAGTGATGCTACCATACCATACCCTCACTACATCTCCATATACTTCATCCATGATTTCTTATCTTTTCATTTCCTCAATGAATTGTATACTTTACAGTTGAATCATAACGAAGCCCTCGCTTCAATGAATGCATACCATACAGACCAGACCAGACCAGACCAGACCAGGTCCAAACGCACCGCGCAGACCCAAACCCAGACCAAACTCCAGCAAAACCCGCATGCCGGCTCACTCAAATCTAAACACACCCTTGTATCATCGACAGACTCACGCCTTATGCGCACCAAGACCCTTGTTCTCGCCTAGGGTACGAGGCTCATGACCGCCCTTGCCGCTCGAGTGGCCGGGGGCACCGCCGCCGCTGTGCATGCCGCCGGCAGGGACATCGGGGAGATCAGCTGTGCGGTTGACGCGATCGAGGTGGTCGTTCTGTTGTTCGTCAGTATCACACTCTATAGATAGTGCTCGGGGTGCTGCAGGTGGGTGGTGGACATAGGACATACAGCAGAGTTGGTACCGTGGACCTTTGTCTCGCCGGCCTCGATGGCGTTGTCGGACTGGGGGATGCCGTTGTCGTATTCTGCTCCGCGAGGCATGATTTCGTTATCTCTCTGAAGGTATGTAGATCTGGAACGCGTTAGCTAGCTGGATTCATTGAGCGGTTGTGTAGAGATCCGTACGGGATAGGTTGATGTGAGGATTTGTAGTTTAGTGTAGTGTAGCTTGTTGTCTATGAATTGAATCCGAACCGATAGTAGTTGATGCCAGCAGCAAAGGAACTTTTGCGCGCTCTATATAGCTCTCTCTGATCTCGATGGAACCGACGTGGTAGATGGAAGACGACACTGACAGCATCATGAGGTCATTGTGGAGCGTGGACGAGAACCAATGACTTCATCTACCCGGAAGAGGTACGATGACAACAGAGTGCATTAGCCATTGATAGAAGGTCTGAAGGGTTCTATTACGATATTTGAGATATATTTGGCAGGCTAAGAGGTAAGATTTGGCAAATGGACACGCGAGTTGCATGGAGCTATGACTTGGATCTATATTGTTGTTCGGTGTACCTGATCCTTCAGGCAATATTACCCCACCAACTGGCAAGTACACTGAAGATACCTCAGGCACATCAGGCAAGAGTTCTTGATGCAGATAAGACCAACAATTGGTGAGCATCTGAGCAAGTGTTACTGGACTCGCCGTCGAGATATATCATATGCTGCATGCACGAGGAGGAATTATGCAGGAAGGGGTAGAAATCGAACCGTCCTCCACCTCACTACAACCTAAGTCATGTAGTAGACACCTACCACTCCTCTTGGATACAATCTCGCAGATAGTACTCTACTTGAAGGGAAAAAAAATGCCGTTAATGAAAGCCATCATCCTGCACACTCCCGGCCCCCCAGACACTCTCAAGCTCACTCACCACCCCATCCCAATTCCTAAACCAGGTGAACTCCGCATCAGAATCAAAGCATTCGGCCTCAACCGCTCCGACCTCCTCACCCGGCAAGGCCACGCCAATCACCCCATCACCTACCCCCGAATCCCCGGCATCGAAGCCGTCGGCATCATCGACACAGCCCCGGGCCTAGAAGACACTTTCCCGCCGGGTAGCACCGTAGCGACCGCCATGGGCGGGATGGGGACAGTTTTCGACGGGGGCTACGCCGAGTATACATGCGTTCCAGCCGGGCAGACGCAGCTCCTCCGGCCCAAGACGACTCTGCCATGGGAGATTCTCGGAGCGATCCCGGTGATGGTGCCGACGGCGTGGGGTGCGCTGATTCGGTCGCTGGGGCTTAGGGCGAAGGATCGGTTGTTGATACGTGGGGGGACGACGTCTGTGGGGCTGGCGGCCGCTGCGATTGCGAAGGTGCATGGGGCGTATGTGGCCAGTACGACGAGGAAGAAGGAGCGGGAGGCGATGTTACTTGAGAATGGGGCGGATCGGGTCTGGATTGACGATGGGGCGGTTGCGGAGCAGATTCGGGATGCGGACTCGGGCTGTTACTATGATAAAGTGCTTGAGCTGGTGGGTTCAGCTACTTTGGCTGACTCGCTGCGGTGTGTGAAGAAAGGGGGTGTTGTATCTCTGGTCGGCAGGTTGAGTGAGAATGGGGATCTGGAGAAGGTGGATCTGATGGAGTTGATCCCCTCTGGGGTCAAGCTGACGGTGTACCGGGGGACGTCTGAGAATTTCATGAGCACGCCGCTGGATGCGGTACTGAGGCTGGTTGAGCAGGGAAGTTTGAAATTCAAGATCGGACGAGTATTGCGGATGGAACAGATTGTCGAGGCCCATCGGTGTATGGAACAAAATGAAGCGGAAGGGAAGATTGTGAGTCTCCCATGAAGTAGACGACGCAACAGCTTTCTCATATACTTGATCATAGATAGATTCTAGTTATGAAATGGATAGATATGATGAAATAGAGAACTTGGACATTCATATTTATAATGCCCACCAGGCTCCTCATCCATATTCTATCCTCATTAGATCTGCCATCTTTCAGGTAGGGGATCAAGCTGGGCCAGATCTTCGTGCTCTGTAGACTGGACTGTCTAAACGACGAGAAACAGTAGAACAATAAGGTCAATAGGCATGTTCCTCGTGCGGTTCTGCAGCGGCACCACCAGGTATGCCAGTGCTGACGTTCGACTGGGTCGACGAATCTACATGGGAGCGACCATTTCGGTGTCAGTTTGTGGAAGGCGATAGTATATCAGCAATCTATTTCATGGAGCCGTTGGTGCCTGCGCTATGGAAGCCCTTAAATTGAGTTCATCGAGTACGCGTGCCAGAACCACGCAGTTGCGAGGTATGTCTTGGTCGCCGGTACCTCTCCTGAGCCAGACAAACCAGGCATGGGCTTGGTCTGGCAGCATTTCTCGATAACAAAAAGATTACGGTGTCCTGCGCCCAAGTTGGTCCATACGTAAGTGTTAGTTATGCTATTCATTGAACCTGCTAACACTTGCTGCTTTCGTCATTGTGGCATCAGAGACCCTCTCAGAAGAGGCCTGCGCAGTGATTCGCAATCAGAGCAAGATCTATACAGCCTGCCGCGACGGCAATCCCCTTTATCAGTACCATTGACATTGCGGCAGTCGCTTTTCGAGCCCTGAGAGATCCTCAACCACAATCGTGATCACCGCAATTTGGGACCAGAGCTTCTCACGAATAACCAGATAGCTGAGAAGCTGACTGCGATCTTGAGCCGACGGGTCGAGCATTGCTCAAGGCTGGCGTCTCAGGCTACTATGCCCGGTTTGCGAGTAACCTCGAGACTGCAGCATCAACTGGCTTTGAGACTGGAATGAGCAACACAGTGGAGAAGGTCACTGGAGGAGCTGCAAGAACTTTTGATCAGTTTGCACAGGAGAACAAAGTTAATTGGGAGTGAGGGGTTTATTGAACGGCACAAATGTACCTGTCTAGCGTATGCCTCTAACAGTCAGAATAGTCAAGACATAATGGCTGTCCATGGTACCTCTCTATAACGGGCTAAAAGTGGTCAAAACCTGATTGGCAGAAAAAAAGTCACATGCTGGGAGCCTGGCGGGCGGGTCATGACATCATAACCCAGCAGCTTTCCCCAGATCTGCTGTCTGCTTGTCGAGCGGGGGATTCTTAGTTGGCAGTTAGTACCTGTGAGGTATGCTACATACTCCATCATTACAGAACCATTATCATAGAATGACATGACCTGTTGATCATCAATCTCTTGTTGGATTAGTTCTGCAATGGTGGGAAATCCGAACGATCGACAGTTTATGTAGGAGGGCGAGACTCTTGTAGTGGCAAAGCTCAATTAGCGCTAGTTACGGAGGTACGGTACATAGAGAGGTACTGCATGACATGAAGGCGCAAAGCTACCATTGCACACCGAGTACATTTCTGGTCTACTCCGATGCAAATTAACACTGCTACTAAAATAGTCATGTACTCAGTACTCAATTGTGGGAACAGAAGAAAAAAAAGTAGTATAAAACGCAGAGAACAGTGGTTGCACAGACACAAAACCCTGGTCAAGCTTGGCTGGGCTAAGGGCCCAAGGCCTGCAAGAACGGTAGCATCTCTTCCTTGTCCTTGGTCTAGGTGCGCAACCACCACCCCCCCAACACTTTTAAGCAAGTAGCAAGACAGTACATTAAAAAGGAGACGAACTAGGGAGTGCAGAAATTTTCTTTTTCGTCAGATAAATTATTGGCATTCCAAGTTTTATAATTCTGCCTCTTCGCTATATTTTGAACTCCCTTCAAAATCTCTTCATCCCTCTCTCTTCTCTTGCGGCCTCAGACCCCCTCGGGTACCTGAGACAGGACGAACCTCACCCGCAGCTGAATCTGGATAAACGCAGAACCAACCTCTCACACTAGAACTAATCCCCGCCACTCGGACCCCCGCACGGTCGAAACCACCTTTTTCTTGGAGAAGAGAGAAGGAAGACGGAAGACGAAAAGCTGCAGGTTCGTGCGTCTCCCATTTCTTTTCCTCAACGCCGACCTTCTCTCTTTGTTTTTCCCGAACCCAGCTTGATCGTGCCTTGTGATGGTCTGCTCTGCCTGAGATTGGCCTCAATTGTTTCCGCTTTGATTCTTACGATATTACATACTCCTACAGCTTCTAATCTACAATTCAAGGCGCACGATGGACGGCGAGGATACTGGTCCCGACCCTCCCAAGAGAGATGTGCGCAACCACACCCTCTTCGAGATTGCTACCGAAGTCGCCAACCGAGTCGGTGGTATTTACTCGGTGCTGAAATCTAAAGCTCCGGTCACTACAGCTGAATATGGCGATCGGTACACCCTGATCGGGCCTCTGAACCGGGCGTCCGCAGCCGTGGAGGTGGAGGAGCTGACTCCCTCGAACCCCCGCATGGTGGAGACTATGAACTCCATGAAGGAGCGTGGCATTGACATGGTGTATGGTCGCTGGCTGATTGAGGGTGCTCCCCGGGTTCTCCTCATCGATACAGGAACTGGATACAAGTACCTGGATGAGTGGAAGGGCGACCTGTGGAATATCGCCGGTATTCCGTCTCCGGCGTCGGATACGGAGACCAATGAGGCTATTGTCTTCGGTTACCTGGTAGCATGGTTTTTGGGAGAAGTACGTGCGATCCCGTGGACTCTTAAGTGCAAATTGATCTCGAAGGCGACGATGCTAACCGATGGCCTTAGTTTATCGCTCACGAACGCCGGCGTGCAGTAGTCGCTCATTTCCACGAATGGCTTGCCGGTGTCGCCCTACCTCTGACCAAGAAGAGGCACATGGATTTAACCACTATCTTCACGACTCATGCAACTTTGCTTGGTCGGTATCTTTGCGCCGGATCTGTCGACTTTTACAACAATCTACAGCATTTCGATGTGGACGCCGAGGCTGGCAAGAGAGGCATCTATCATAGGTACTGCATTGAGAGAGCCGCCGCACACAGCGCAGACGTCTTCACTACGGTCTCACACATCACTGCATTTGAAAGTGAGCATCTGCTCAAGCGCAAACCGGACGGGGTGCTTCCCAATGGATTGAATGTCAAGAAATTCGCAGCGGTGCATGAGTTCCAAAACTTGCACTCCCAGTCCAAAGAGAAGATCAACGACTTCGTTCGCGGTCACTTCTATGGCCACAATGACTTTGATCTGGACAACACACTCTACGTCTTCACGGCAGGTCGGTATGAATTCCGGAACAAGGGAGTGGATATGTTCATCGAGGGCCTGGCTCGTCTTAATCATCGCCTCAAAGCTAGCGGGTCCAAGACGACCGTTGTGGCCTTTATCATCATGCCTGCCCAGACCTCGTCGCTGACTGTGGAGGCTCTCAAGGGTCAAGCTGTCGTCAAGTCCTTGCGAGACACAATCGAGATGATCGAAAAGAGTATTGGAAAACGGATGTACGAGCGTTGCCTAGCCTGGAAAGAAGGCGACAACATGCCCGACGAGAAGGATTTGATTACAAGCCAAGACCGTGTGCTGCTGCGTCGGAGACTTTTCGCCATGAAGCGGCACGGATTGCCTCCGATTGTGACGCACAACATGTTCAATGACCATGAGGATCCGATTCTCAACCAAATCCGTCGGGTTGAACTTTTCAACTACCCGACGGACCGCGTCAAGGTCATCTTCCATCCGGAGTTCCTGAACTCCTCCAACCCTGTTCTGCCTCTGGATTACGACGACTTTGTCCGTGGTACGCATCTGGGAGTCTTCCCATCGTACTACGAACCCTGGGGTTACACGCCTGCGGAATGTACCGTGATGGGCGTTCCAAGCATCACCACCAACTTGTCCGGTTTCGGCTGCTACATGGAAGAATTGATTGAAAACTCCTCCGACTATGGAATTTACATTGTGGACCGTCGCATGAAAGGCGTTGATGACTCTGTCAATCAGCTGACTGAATTCATGTTCAATTTTACCCAGAAGAGCCGGCGACAGCGCATTAACCAGAGGAACCGCACGGAACGTTTGAGTGATCTGCTGGATTGGAAGCGTATGGGTTTGGAATATGTCAAGGCTAGACAGCTGGCTCTAAGGAGAGGTGAGGAAACTCAGGTCCCCAGCCTTTTACTTGTTGCTGACTCCATGTATAGCCTACCCTTCATCCTTCGATGGTGCCGAAGACTATTTCGACGTCATTGGAGGAACAGAGCAGAAGCTTTCGCGTCCATTGTCAGTCCCCGGGTCTCCGCGGGATCGATCTGGAGTGATGACTCCGGGTGATTTTGCTACCATTCAGGAAGTCAAGGAGGGTCTGGACACTGAGGACTATATCGCATGGCGTCTACCGTAAGTCTCCACCTAAATCGGGGCAATGGGACATCACTGACAAGACACAGTACTAGCGAAGAGGAAGAGCCGGATGACCATTACTTCCCACTCACTCTACGGACGAAGAAGTCTTCGGACCGGCCTTCGTCGCCGCTGGATAGCATCCCCGTTAACGGTGGCCGCTGATTCCGATGGCATGACCGACGGCTGATCATTTGCGGATCCACAACTCCAAGTGAGCATGATTTAAATTTAAAGAATCAAGTCACCGGCAGCTGTAACCCCACTGATTGTCGGTCTTTATTTTTCCTTTTTTTCACTTCATTTTTCATTTATTTTCTCTCATTCTGCATCAAACCTGCATGTCCTCTTTCCTTGTTCTCTGGATCGTCATTTCAACTACGTGCTATAGTTTCTTGGAGATGACCGAAGTGAACTTATTTGACCCGACTGGTTGTGCGTCAATCTGATCATGATCACTAATGCTTTTGAATTCTATGCCATGTCTGCACCTGTTCATCTGTGTCATTTGCGCCCTGCTCTCTACATAGCGTGCTGTTTCATTGTTTGCCT